AACCTAGCAGTTCAAAAACATGTAAAATGCAAGTAGAAAAATAGGAACCACCTTTGGTGGGAAGGAAACAGCCTTCCGTGCGCCTTCAGCGTTGAGTCATGCCGGCCACATGACCACGGAGGCATCTTCGGACAGCGCTGGCTCTCCGGCTTTGAAACGGAGATGAGAACCGCCCCCTAGAGTCGGGAACGACTAGCACAGATGTGCGAAGGGAACCTTTACCTAACAGCATCCTTGTGTTTCCTGAGGTCAGTTGCTCTCCTGGAGCCCCCGTGAATGGTTCGTTTTTGTGCTTCCCTCCTCCCAGCGAATCACGGCAACTTCCTGCTGACTGGGGCCTACGACAACACGGCCAAGGTGTGGACCCACCCAGGCTGGTCTCCCTTGAAGACCTTGGCTGGACACGAGGGCAAAGTCATGGGCTTGGACATCTCCATGGACGGGCAACTGATTGCCACCTGCTCCTACGACCGGACCTTCAAGCTCTGGATGGCAGAATAAGCAGGGTATTTCCACCCATCCGAAACCTTCTCCTCGCCACCTGGGGGATTTACCTGGGTTTTATGTCAGGGGGAGATCCGATCACAACTGGCCTTGCAGAGTCCATCCTCTTCCTCCTCCTCCTTCTGTTATGCCGGCCAGCCCAGGTGATAAAAGGTTGCAAACCACCCCCCTGCTTTTGCTGGCCTTGGACGGACACACTTCTGGGAGATCGGAGAGTCCCCCTCAAATAGGTGGTCTTTGGACCTCTCAGTTTGGGACCGGAATCGTTTTCTCTGTTGGGCAGAGACTTTTTTAAAAAATCAGAAAAAAAATAAGTGTATTAAAATGAAGTGGCTGCTTCTGTTTCAAAGCCTCCACCGGTTCCGTTGTCTGCAGTCTCTCTTTTTCACTTAGGGCCTGATAGTTTGCACAGGTAGTCCTCCTGTTACAGCCACTTGTTTAATGACTAAAGACCGACAGTTCCTTCCTTCTATCCTTTCCTTTCCTTCTTTCCTTCTCCATTCCCTTTACCTCTGCTCCCCTTTCCTCTCCTCTCTCCTCTCTTTATCTTCTCTCTTCACTTTTCTCCTTTATTCTCCTTCTTTGTTCTCCCCTCCTCCTCTTGTCCTTTTTTTCTTCCTCTTCTCTCTTTCTCTTCCGCTTCTCTTCCCTTTTTCACACATCTCTCTGTCTCTCTCTGCCCCCCCTCTCTCTCTCTGCCCCTCTTTCTCTCTGTCTGTCTCACTCTGCCCCTCTCTTTCTCTCTCTCTATCTCCCTGTTTCTCTGTCTCTGTCTGTCTGTCTGTCTCTCTTTCTCTCTCTCTCTATCTCCCTGTCTCTCTGTGTCTGTCTGTCTGTCTCTCTCTCTCTTTCTCTCTCTCTCTCCCTGTCTGTGTGTGTGTCTGTCTGTCTCTTTCCCTCCCTCCCTCCCTCTCTCTCTCTCTCTCTCATGTCTGGTAGCAGATATATCTTGAAAAACGCCAGCATTATTTTCACCCCTTTTGTTTAAAAAAAATAGAGTTTTCTTCCAGCGCCTTCCTCTTATCTGTTATAGAAAATACTAGCTGGATAACAAAGGACAGGTTAAGCCAACATCCTTTTGTCTGAATTCAACCTCTTTTGCAACCCTGGCTACCTCTCTGCCCTAGTCCATCCGACTTTCCTATTTTTTTGAAAGTATTATTTGCTAACTGAAAACGAGGATCGAAGGCCTTCAAATGATTTTTGAGTTTATGTGACTCCTCTGCATTCTTGGTCTCTCTCCTTTATGCGCTCATCCGCAGGAACTTCATGGAATTCAGAGTGCAGAGTTTGGGGGGGGGGGAATGTTAAAGTTCCTAATTAAAATCTTTTCCAGGCAGATTTTCCTGTCTCGATTCAGGAAAAAAAAAACTTTAGGAGAAATTCCCTTCTGGTTACCCAAGACGGATTCCTTCCTCACCCGCCTCAATAAATTTAATTTCACCCCATTGATTGTAACTCAGTAGCAGCACTGACCCGGTGGCTCATTTAGCCCACATCGGCATTCCCATCCCTGAACTGGACACCAAGCAGGTCAGGTTCCCAAAACTGGCTCGGCTGCAAAAAAATAAAATAAAAAAAGACCTCCCCTCACCTTGCTCAAAACAATTTTACAGTGAGAGAGGAATGTATTTGCTCGGTACACAGAACATGGTGAACTTCGTAATATTTGGACAGCGAGAAAAGAAGCATTTAATAAATAAGTGATACAAACCAGCCCAGCAGGTAAAGGGGAAAAAATTAAATATTTAATATGCTTGATTTGATTTTTTGATTTCTGTCTCTCTGTCTCTTTCTTTCTCTTCTCTTTCTCTCTCTCTCTCTCACGCACACAAACACACACTATGTCTCTCTTCGCTGTCTGTCTCTCTGTGTCTCTCTCCTCTATGTGTGTCTCCTCTCTGTATCTTTCTCTTCTCTTTCTCTCTCTGTCTCTCTCTCTTCTTCTCTGTCTCTCTGTGTCTCTCTCCTCTCCTCTCTCTGTGTGTGTCTCTTCTCTCTCTCTCTTCTCTCTGTCTTTCTATGTGTCTCTCCTCTCTTCTCCTCTCTGTGTCTCCTCTCTCTCTCTTCTCCTCTCTATCTCCTCTCTCTGTCTCTCTCTCTTCTCTGTCTTTCTGTGTGTGTCTCTTCTCTCTCTCTCCTCTCTCTCTTCTCTCTGTCTCTTTCTATGTGTCTCTCCTCTCTTCTCCTCTCTGTGTCTCCTCTCTCTCTCTTCTCCTCTCTATCTCCTCTCTCTGTCTCTCTCTCTTCTCTGTCTTTCTGTGTGTGTCTCTTCTCTCTCTCTCCTCTCTCTCTTCTCTCTGTCTCTTTCTCTCTGTGTGTCTCTCCTTTCTCTCTTCTCCTCTCTGTGTCTCTCTCCTCTCTCTGTGTGTATCTCTTCTCTCTCTCTCTTCTCTCTCTCTCTCTGTGTCTCTCCTCTCTCTCTTCTCTGTCTCTCTGTGTGTCTCTCTTCTTTCTCTCTGTCTTTCTCTGTCTGTCTCTCTCTCTTTCTCTCTCTCTCCCCCACACATACACATGTCCACACTTTTGCATTTACAAATGCCGCATTTTAAGGACAGAGACAAATTTAACTTGATTTTCCGTTAAGTGCTGCAACAGACTAATTAAGAACTGGAGGGGACTTTGAGGTCTTCTAGCCCAACCCCCTGCTCAAGCAGGAAACCCTATATATCATTTCAGGCAGGGTCATCAAAACTTTTCTGAAAAACCTCCAATGTTCTGCCCACACCTAGCAGTTCGAAAGCACGTAAAAAATGCAAGTAGAAAAATAGGAACCACCTTTGGTGGGAAGGGAACAGCGTTCCGTGCGCCTTGGGGCGTTTTGCCATGCCAGCCACATGACCACAGAGACGTCTTCGGACAGCGCTGGCTCTTTGGCTTTGAAACGGAGATGAGCACCGCCCCCTAGTCATCCTAGCCATCCTTTCTCCTACCTTCTCAACCCCCAAATTTAGAAGCTGAGCTCCTTAGGAAAGGATTTTTATCCCCCTTCCCAAAATACTTTCCGGCTTCCTGCGTTCCCAGCCCCTGCGGAATCCCACCCCCAGCACCAAATCAGAACCAAGTTTCCAAGGTCGTCTTCTCCCTCATCCCAAACCTGGGAAAAAGTTTTTCGTCCAGAAGATGGAGAAGACGAGTAGTAAAGTCACGCTTAAGATAATGACCATCAAGTAGGTGAAGATCCGAAGGTGCGGGTTCCGGGTGCATTCCCGGAGAAGGGAGCGCTGAGGCACGGTGGGGGTGCTGGCCACAGTCGCTGGCTGGGGGCTCTCGGGATAAGGCTGGGTGCCGAGTTCGGGGTCCAGGCCCAGGTCCAAGGTGTACACCCTGGGTTGCCGCAGGAAGTACCTGGTCTTGCGCTGCTCCTTGAGACACAGTTGTCGCCCTTCGAGGATGATGTGGTTGGGCTCCAGGCCCAGCTTGTGCAGGAGCGCGACGTCGGTGGGCAGTTCGGTCACCTGCTGGTTGGCGGGGAGCAAGGTCAGGCAGCGGCAGAGCGGGCAAGGCAGCTGGTTCTGGGTGGCGGCGATCAGGCTGAGATGTGCCAGGCACTCGATGCAGAAGGAGTGGCCGCACCGCAGGAGTTTGGGGGTCCGGAAAATGTTATTGTAAGCATTCCAGCAGACGGGGCATTCGGAAACCAAGCTGGGCTCCTGGTGTACATTTTTGGCCATGGCTATTTGGCTTGGGAAGCCGGAAGCGGTTCGGTTAAGGGTGAACGACCTGCTCCACATGGGAAGAGCTCAACTGGAGACTTATCGCTCATGCAATAAATTCACAGGAACCTTCCCCGACTGGCGGTTTGCACCTGGATTAGACAAGGCTCAAGCGGGATGAGATTTTGCCTTCTTGTGCCCACGTAAAGATTCCAGACTAAGTCCCTGCTTGACTCCTCCTTCCTCCTGACAGTCCGACGCTTATTAAAATCACCCACGAGGCTCGGAAGAGCCAGCAGAAGCATGGCAGATCAGTTTCGTAGCATCCTGGAGAGGGGGGATTGCTGGGCAGGCTGAAGCCCCCCTTAAAGCACGTGAAATCCACCCCTGGAGTGGGGGGAAAAGAAAAAACCCGGAAGAGACAAGTTAGAATAAGAAGCAAGGCTGGGCACGAGTGCAAATCTCCCGGGAACGCTCTAATTACACGCTGCTATTTATACAGTGCTACCTGAGGACATAATGCGTTACCGAATACGGCAATGCGTCGTCCCCGGGGGACCGAGTCTCTATGATATGACCGCAGAGATAAGAGTGGGTGGAGGCGGAAACGAGCTGGCGGCAAAGGTGCACTGAAAAAAAAAGTTTCTAGCCCTCATGACGCAGACATAAATGGGACGCCCTTCTGTTGCAGCCATCAAGGGTTCAAAACTCTGGACATTTGGCAACTGGTATGTTTTGAATGTCAGTTGCAGCCACCCAGGGTCCTGGAATCACTGGTTCCCCCCCCCCCCCCCCCAAGGCCAAAGCATTGGGGCAAGTTGGATTCCCTTCACAATCCCAGATTTGCTTAGTGATGTTACTTAACCGGAAAAATGACAGCATAAATATGAATATTGTTGGCTTCTCTTGTTGAATTTCAAGGATTCATTTCTCAGTCCCTGTGATCTCCCAAACTAATGGAGTTTCTTTTCCTTTTTTAAAAAAATAGTATTTATTAAATTTTCCAACCTTTAAAAGACAAAACACAAATTTACACTTTTCCATATTTTTCGCGACAAACCTATTTACAGAAAATTCTATTTCTATATCGTTATCCTAAGTTACATCCTTATTTTGATGCTCTCCGTACATTTACACGTTGTGCCTTAAGTTTTTAACGTTTACTCTCAAGCTAGGAATACCATCTATATTCCAAATTCGATAGCACTCCGTTTCTTCCCTCTCCTTCGTTTCAAACTAATGGAGTTTCTGAGCTGGTCCTATATCGTAGCAGCCAATGGAATTGGAATCACGGGGCTGGAAGGGGACCCCGGAGGTCTTCTAAACCAACCCCTCAACCAGGGCAGGTGTCCTTTATTCTATCCCAGACAAATCCCCCACTATTAAAACATCAGAGAACTTTGGAAGCAGCTTTTCAAACAGGTCAGTTTTGGTCTAACCAAATATTTGGGGGGGGTGGGGGTTGAGCTGACTTTGATGGTTACCAGGTTTCCAAATCTTTTTAAGCCTTGAACTCAGAATCTTCGGCGTGCAGAGCGAAGGTTTTCCCGCTGAGTAATGTTCCTTCCCCTAGTAAGAATAGCAAGCCACCCCTTTACTAGATTTAAACCTCAATCTACCGCGATGGGAAATGTTTTTTTTTTCCCCTGAGTTTTATTATTTTTTTATTATTACATTGAGCATTTAAACATTAGAGAATTCTCCCATTTTTCTTCTTAAATATCGTCTAGTAATATCGATAGGAAATGTTCCCCCCCCCCACTTTGCACCCTCTTTCACTCCTGCCCATCGATTCTCAAAACTGCACCTCTTTTGGGGAGACGCGAAGTTTACCCAGGTTCCCACCAACCCTTCCTCCTGCCCCCCCACTTCAATTAAAACAGCAAGATCTATTCGAAACAGCCTTTTTTCTCTAAACCCTTTTCTTTGCTCAAGATGAAAAAATGGGTACAGCTGCAATGGATCTCCAGCACACTTCCTTCCATTCGTCCAACCCCAAATTCTTCATCCTGGGGACACCGCAGGGGATACCATCTCCCTCCTGGCTCCCCGCGCACAAGCCCAGCCCCTTCTCCGCACCCACACCACCCCTTCCCCCCCGAAAATATCCAGCCCACCTTGCCAATGGCATCATCCTTATTCTTGCATCTCGGGTGTTGGGGAGTAACAGGTCTGCAGGTTGCACCGAGAGAGGCGGCGCCTCCCTCCATGGATGGAGAGGAAAAGGATCCTCCACCCCCCCACACCTCCCTCTCAGGACAAGATCCTTGTCTATCGGTGGTTTCCCCCTGGGGCTAGAGTTTTTCAGCACTGAAATGAGAGAATGGGAGGCAGCTGTTGTTTATCACTGGATAACCAAGGAGACAACAGCCTAGGAGTCACCAGAGCTTCTCGGGCAGGGGGGGCGGGGGCTGCTATGGAGATGGGACACCTTGATCTCGGCTGCTGGTATTGTCCTCTGCAAGGACAACAGAGGTTTCTTTCTCTCCCCTCACACCCCCACCTTGGGGGGGGGGACAAAACAACCAGAGGCCAGTTCACCTCCTGCCTTCTGGTCAACCTGACATCTGTCCTCTCAGCCCAGCCATCACCAAGGACAACCTGTTCTGGCTTGTCTATAAATCCTGGGTTAGCCAGAATTTCAACTAAGAGAACAAAGGGGCTCCAAAATTAGTTAGTTGGTTAGTTAGTTAGTTAGTTAGTTAGTTAGTTAGTTAGCTGTTTCTCCTCCTCCTCCTCCTCCTCCTCTTATCCTCCTTCTAATTCTCCTCCTCCTTCTCCTAATTCTTCTTCTTCTTTTCTCCTCCTCCTCCTCCTCCTCCTAATTCTTCTTCCTCTTCTCCTTCCCCTTCTTCTCCTCCTCCTCCTAATTCTTCTTCCTCTTCTCNCAGAGCCCTCCTCAGAGCCTCCCCCAGACTCCAGGACTGGCCCATCTTCCTCCCCAACCTCCTCACTGTTCAAATCTACTGCCCTGCTCTGCTTGGTGGGCCACAACAGAAGAAAGTAAAATCAGGATTAACGTTCATCCTGAGAAATCAAGCTTTTTTTCTTTTTTTTAAACTGACTGCCTGAGAGGGGAGAAGTACGCAGAAGCCGGAGTACTTCCACCACGAGGGAAATCAAAGCCTGCAACATGTCTGTCACCTGATTGTAAATTTGCGAGAGGCTGGCGTCTTTCTTTTCCACCGAGCCAAATATGTACCTACCTCCAGGCTGTTTGGCTCAACTACAAAACAAAAGGATGGCATTTACCCAAACGGCATGTGCCGAAGATTAGTAAAGCGGTAGCTGAATCAGCCTTCTCCCCATCCCATCCCTCTGTACAATCAAGTTTTCAGCCTCTCTCTCTCTCTCTCTCCCGATCTTTTTAGAAGGCACAAAGACGGGGTTTGTGATACATTTCATCTCAACCGCAAAGTCGAGCGGGGTTCCGCCATTTCGTGGCGCTTCAGCCACGGCTAACTTATCTCCGTAACGAGCTCTTTAGCGTTTAGCACATCGCGTCCGCCTGCTTGCTTCTATCCACCCTGTGTAAACCCGAAGAAGGGAGTGGCTCCTTGATTACTAGGATGATGTGAACCCAACCGTATAGGGTTCGAGGCCAGCTTTAGCCATTTGGGTATTTCCCGTGAAAAGTGGGGAGAGGGGGGAAATTCCAAAAACCACCCGCCAGCGTCTTTCCCTTGTGTTTTGTCGACGGAAAATCTCGTCTCGTTTACTCGCTGACTGTAACCCAGTATTGTTTCTTCCGTAGCTGTTCTTCTAGTCTTCCTCCACTGACAGTATATCTATGGAAAAAATATAATGTGCCTTAGCTATATTGCTTCCTCGGGCTGTGTAGTGTACCATGTAAGACCGGGATGGGGAACCTGTGGCATGCAGAGTCCTATCTGTGGCACGCGCATCGCTCTGCTGGTCCGGCCAGCTGGTCTTTGCGGACGCCGGAAAACAACTCCAAAAAAAAGAGGTTAAAAAACGGCCGGTTTCCAGGCCAAAAACGGCCCGAAAAACGGCCAAAAACCAAGCATGCGCATATTGGCAGGCTGGTCTTTGGGTTCGCGCATGCGCACACGTTCCACTTTGGGCATTCATGTGCCAAAAAGGTTTGCCGCCGCTGATGTAGGATGTCTTGTTTTAAATCCCTAGCTGATGGAAGCATATCCGTCGGCAATCATTATGTGAATACTAACGATTCCGCTGTTGTATCTTCTGAAAGTGCAGACTGCCCTAACCGAAAATGATGGATATGTTTACACCTGCCCCGACGTCGTTCAGTAGAATAAAGAGATTCAACCCATCGTCTGGAATTGGCTTTCTTTCCCCCATGCCCCCCCGTCTCCATGACAATACCCTTCTCTCGTACCTCTCTCCCGTTCCCAAGCTGGTGGAACCGGTTTGCATGTACACAGCCCCGCGCACAATAGTATTGTCCCTACAATAGCTCCCAATTTAATGCGCTCGGTGTTAGGAAAGCGTGTGACGCAGAGTGAAGGAAAATAAGCTAATTGCAAGTAGCGCTATCCCTTCTAGGAATAGGTGAGTCTATGCGTTCGTCCTTGTTCAGGTGATTAGAGGGGTGAAGAGGCAGGTCTGCTCCACACCGCCCAGGTGGTGTTACAGAAATAAACACACTTCTATGATGGCTATACTCGTTCTGAGCGTGAAGCAAACTCCTGGTCCAGACAAAAAACCCTTTTATTAATTGACTGTGAATTCTGCTCATTCACCTTCAGCAAAGTCTTTCAAGGGAGGATTTATGGTCACAGACCTTATCTGGCTTGAAGAGCTGCCTGGCCCATATCTGCACAACTTGGCAAGGAGCCTCGGAGAGTCACGAATCAATGAAGCGAACTAATGGCCTCCTACAAACTTCACTCCCCTTTCACTCCTTTTTTATTCCCTCTGGGAGGGGCCATTCACCGTCCACCTGTGGCCTTACTCCCAAGTCGACCCTTGATCTTTAGCTGTTCCCTTCGTCTAGCAGCTCTGTGCATGCACACACTGGGAACAGGCTCCAGCTGTTCTTCTTGCCTCACTGATGTCTGACTCTGAAGGCAGCTGA